AAGCAACCCGCGTCGTTTCCTGGCATTGACAACTGCGTGAACTGACTTGGGGACGCACTCGGCGACGACCTCGGCGCCATTCGTCCGATCCTACTACTGTCTCGATGACGCCGTCACCGTCTCGTGCACAGTCTGCCACGACGACAGCTGTCCCCGGCCATAACCGCCATCCGTTTCTTTGTGCCACTGACACAAGTGTTGATGTTTTAAACGTTGGAGTTGCTAAAATCTACAGTAGACCCAGCTGTGCTGGCGAGCTAACGAGAAGATCATCAAATGTGTGTAGTCAGCTGCAACAATTCTGCGCTGTCGCCGGATCCGAGGTCAATGTTTCGAGATGTATAACGAATTAATTTCTAATTTAATCACCCAGAGTCCAACAGTTTCGCCGGCGATCGACAAATAAGATAAATTTATTTTTGCCAGTGTGAAACATCCTTTTCACACTCAACGGCAACGAGGGTTAAGCTCCGTTAATTCTGTTACTATTCCTAGTACTCATGTACAAACGGGATTCCGCAACAAGTGTGAGTCCTTCGCGCATACTCAAATTTACAATACTAGCAGTTTGCTAGGAAACCCATAATGCCGGTATTTACGTTTGGTAAAGGCGAAAAGTTTTATTTTGATTTAGCATAGCAGGGACACCAAAATGAATTGCTTAGGTCAGTCGTTAGCATCAGCAGTTATCAGCGCCTGTTGCTGATATATCAGGTATATAGTTTCTGTTTTTGAGACAGAAATCGGCATAAAGTTCGTCTAACTAACTCATTCTTCTGGCTTGCTTCGAGCAAAAGCGATTTAAACAGAAGAGAAACTCAATAGCGTTGTCGCGCCTCGCCACTCATCCACTGACAGCATTAAAGTTAAAGGTCAATGTGGTTGTGGTAAATATTTATAAACGAAGAACTTGCTTCTGTGACGTGGAACATGAATCTTGCTAGGGTAGTCAACAACACAATAGGTATGTCAAAGATGCTGTTATAATCAGGTCAGACATGGTTAATCCATGCAACTCTGCTGTTCTACCGCAGCTTAATCTCAAGCGGCAACAACAACAAGAAACTTCATGAGAGGTCATTGAAAACCTGCTTTTAAAATATAATTACGAACACTTAATGTTTAGCCTTTTGGAAAATTTGCTGTTAGGAACTGTAGTGACTCTCAGTTCACGTGTAAAATGTTTCTAATCAGCAGTCTTAAATCATTTATGTTAGCTTAATTCATCAACGGATCATCTGAAATGATCTAAAAGCGCATTTAAATATGAATAAATGAAAATAGCTTATACTCTTTGAATGGCATTACGAATACTCCAATTTTTTGCATTAAAAGCTATGAATTACAACGAACGCAAATGCCAATTGGACGTTCAATGAGAAAAAATTTATCTATGGTTATATTGCGTTTCATATGTGAACTTATGCGGCTTTATAATCTTAGGTCGAGCATCTCGAGAAGTCAACGATAGCATAGTGTAATGCCTCACATTACCACCGAGTTGCCTCAATAGCAGTCGGTACATTTTCATCAGAGCAAACTGCATTAATTGACATGATTCCAACTCTTACGAACTGTTTAACCTTGATAAAAATTAGAAAAGCACTAATAAATCAGTTCCGAACCGTGATCTGGGATCTGAAGTTCACAGGCATTTGGCAAAATAAAAAATTAAGGAATAAATCCTCCAAGACTAGATTCGGCGGCGTATTGCACCGCTCCGCTGCCCTTAGCTGCCTATGGGAGCCATTCAAGCAGTCCATGGCTCCACGGTACTTGAGCACCGGCAGTGCGAGATGCATCTCGCATCAGAGCAAGTGGACGATGCGCCGTGAAATCTGGTTTTGGAGGAGTCATCCGTCATTTGACATGCTCAGGCGTACGAAGAGATTATGATGTTTATGAGGTAAAAATTAAAAAAATTTCCCATTTCTCTGATCCTTTGTACACCTAATCTTCAGGGAGCGTGAATAAGAAA